AACCCTTCACTGGGGCCTGCCAACCAGCCCCCATTAGCATTGCTCATGGCGCAGAGCTATTGGCTTCGATTTGGCCAGGAGTTCCATGAGGCAATGTTTCCTCCTGAAAAGCAGTAACAGTCTCACCCCTTAATAAATTAAAAGTCCAACATCCTCTGACAACCAGCCAAACAATGGCCTAGTGGTATTTTCACTGCATTGTTAATACAGTCACCCAGGTAATATTCTGGGGACCCGGGTTCAAGTCCCACCGTGGCAGGTGGTGGAATTTGAATTCAATAAATATCTAGAATTAAGAGTCTAATGGTGACTATGAAACCATTGTCGATGGTCAGGAAAAGCCTATCTAGTTCAGTAATGTCCTTTAGGGAAGGAAATTGCCTGGTTTGGCCTACAAGTGACTCCAGACCCAACATGGTTGACTCTTAACTGTGCTCTAGGCAATTAGGGATGGGCAATAAATGCTGGCCTGTCTGCAAAGCCCTCACACCATGAATGAATAAAAAGAACATCAGAGGCAGGCACACTCTCAACATTTACATGGGCCGTGGGGAGCATATTGTCAGAATATAATCCAGGTCATAGTATGCAATACACTCTCAAAAAGAGTGAACTGGGCAGACCTCAGGATTTTTCTAGGTGATTGACAATACATTGGAAGCACTACTTTAGAGATTTGCCCAACTCTATATTAAAATCATAAGGCTGCAACCATGAAGTCTTTACAAAGTACCTAAGCAAAGGAACTTTGACCAACAGCACATGGACTGCAGCACAGCTCACCAACACATTCTCAAGTGCAACTAGGGGCAGGTAATAAATTCTGGCTGAGATGGCATTGGCCACATCCCATGAGTGAACACAAATAAAACACAGCTCCTTCAATAAAATGTGACAATAGATTTTAACTCGTTCCAAATTTAGGCAGAATATGGAATATTGAAACAAGCCAGTGATCTACCATCAGGGACAGAAATTACCCCAGAAACTTGATTATCTAGGAATGTTGCATAGTTGTGGAAATGTACAACAATTACATAGTTTTGTGTAGCAATTTGACATGCACACCATTGAGACCCCAAGGCATGGAAATCCATTTGAATCACATTTAACATTGTTGCAGATGTTTATAATTGATTCAGAGTAAGTACACTTTTGCACCAAAATTTATTATGCACTATCAGTCATTTCAATCCTTAAATTAAATCTGCTGTTGCTCTTTGCCTACTACCTTGCCATAATTTAATCTAGTGCAATATTTGAAAGAATACTCCAGGACAATGCTGAAATGCAAAAACATGTTGGACTGCATATATTTCTCCATATATTGATTTCTCTGCATCATTGAAGGGGCGTCAATAGCCCAGGCTGAGCAAAAGAATATCATTCTTCAATATCCACATGCAGGAACACAACAAAATGTATTAGGAAACCTGCCATTGCGCAGAAAGGTTTGTTTGTGGTTTAAAAAATGTGATTTATATTTCCACAGCACTTGTTGTGTACAGAAAAAATCCTTTAGAATTATTTTGCAGGGATCAGAAAAGAACCACATATCAGAAGATTTTTTTAAGTTACTGTTGAAGATATGGAAAATATGCAAACTTTAGTCATTTGACCAGGCCAGTAAAATCATATCTGCTCATAATACACTTCACAGTGAGTTTCAAAATGTAAAGTGGCATAAAGGGTGTTAAGAAGTACTGTCATTTGAACTATTCCATCTTACCAAAATACTTCGCCTCTTACATATTAAGTCTCACTCTCAGCACAGAAATAATTCTACATAAGCAGGCCCTAATGAGTATATAGCAAAGCTCTTCAATAAGATAGATCAGTATCAATTAGGGTGGATTTAGCTGTAAAAAGCCAATGAGGCTAATACTGTACACCATTCTTTATATGAAAATCGGAATTCAAAATCTAGTAATGGCGTTTGTGCAGTTCATATGTTAGTCAGCAGATTGTGGTCCAGCCATTCAGAAGTTGGGTGAAAATAACATTATGCTACTTGGCTCATTCAAATATATTGAACGATGTGATATTTCTATCCTTTACTCCTGAGTACCAATTAAACTCACCAAAAATGTCCATATTTTCCAGTATATGAAACCTTTAACAGTTTACTAACTGCAAAGCAACCTCTCTGATGTTCAAAATTAATTTTATACGTGTTTATAACCTGTTGCTTCACGTTTTTTTTTGTAGATTTAAAAAGAAATACACAGGAGTATATGGAATATATGGCACAGAAACTTAATGAGCTGAATTTTTTGTTTTGGCTAAGTCCGAGTTGCTCAGATGTATTGGAGAGTTTCTCGCTGCAGTGAGTTCCCTTGCCCTGTCTTATAAAACTCATCTTATTAATTGCCTACCACACCCTGACAGCATCTCTCATGTCCATTTTCCATCCCACCTTACCTGGTGCCATTCCCACAACAACTCACCATTCAGTAGATATCCACTTAACACCAGCATCCCTTGCATCCGTGCCATCTTAAGAGCTTATTGTGCACACAGTAAAGCACTGTCAGGCTGCCAGATACAGGTTCCAGTTTCTTATTGAATATTCTGGATATCAAACTTGTTTGGCGAGCTTTGTAAGATGCAAGGCTGAACATTAATGCAGCAAGTACTGCCAATATCTTTTACTTTATAGTTCTATTTCTTTAATTTCTTCACGCAATCTTTCTTTCTATCACTTTTCGTACTGGATTTGATTTTGAATTCACTATTTTAACTGAGATCCTGATTCAGACTGTGCTACTTATTAATGATTCTTCAAACTGATTGGTTAAGGAGATACTCAGTTGTTTGCCCTGTTCATCCACGTCCCAGATCCCCCACAGGAGGCACTGCTTTTCTTGGGTGGTTGGATGACAGGAATCTTCTATAGAACACTTCATTGAAAGTTTATAGGCAAGTACCAGTCTAATGAACATACTGTTTCATTTATTCATTGCTCAGAGCAAACTATAATTTGGTGGCCATGCTTATGCTTTGAAAGTTAGTCATGACATACAGAGAACTTCCTGCTCTTCTTCAAACCCTTCCATGGAATCTTTAGTATCTGTCTGACCAAACAGGAATAATTTAGATTACACTTATTATTTCAACAGTATTTTTCTTCCAAGTGTTCAAGTTAATCCAGTACCTGCATCTGTAAGCGAACAGCTGGATGCTTTTGAAACATAGGAACATAGCAGCAAGATCAAGCCACTCAGTCCAACATACCTGCTCTCCCATTTAATTAGACTATGGTTGATCTCAACACTAATTTCCCATGCTAACCCCCAATCCCTTCTTGTCTTCAGTGTTTAGAAATTTATTGATTTCTATCTTGAACGTGCTCAATGATTGAACTTCCACAAACCTCAGGCTAGAGAATTCCAAACATTCACCACGCTCTGAGTGAAGAAAGTCCCCTCATTTCCATCCTAAATTGCCTACTCCTTATTCTAAGGCTATGCCCTCTGGTTGTAGAATCTCCAACAATGGGAAGCATCCTATCTGCATTCACCCTGTCATACCTTATAAGAATATTGTAAGTTTAAATGAGATCGCCCCTGCTTCTTTAAAACTCTAAAGAATACAGACCCCATTTCTTCAATTTCTCTTTGTAAGATAACTGTCATCCCCAGCAGTAGTCTGCTGAATCTTCATTGCACTCATTCCATGGCAGGTGAGAACTATTGATAGATTATGTGTTTATGTATAAGATTCTTAAAGCATATAAGGGAATTCTTCAGTTTGAACTACATATCCTTACTTAACAAAGATGAGTTGAGATGAATACAAGAACAAATATGACTGTAATACGTTAACAGCATAGAAGTGGACCATTCAGCCCATTGTGTCTGTACACTGCTAGATTAAACCAGAACTAATCTGACCCCTTAATGTAGTCCTGTAGGTTTATCTTCAAATATTTATCAACTCTTCCCTTAAAAGATACAATGGTCTGTATCTCAACTACTTTCTGTTGCAAACAACTCCTTGTTTCAACAACTCTTTACGAAAAGGAACTTCTTCTGTACACTAACCTCATTTACTTAGTAACAAAAATTGGTAACCTATTGTCTTTGGTTTCACAAGATTTTAAAGTAGATTTTCTTTGGTAATGCATAACGCCATATTTATTTAAGTCTTCCTTTAGCCAACTTGTACCTTGGTATCATTCTGGATAATTATTATTTAGTTCTAATCGACCCGTTTGGATATATTATGATATATTCTATGGCAAGTGGGACTTAGAACTAGACATTCTAGCTGAAAAGTAAGGCACTGCGATTGTGCTATAGACCCCTACTTTTTTTCTAAAAAATCAACTTTTAATCAATTATCCACACAGTTTATATCAGACCTCTAAGGTGGCTTGGACTTGAAACCCCAAAATTCTGGCTCAGACTCTAATTATTTTCAAATAAACAGCTCAGACATAGTATGACACATTTCCAGGGCAGCTGGGTCTTGAGCCCAGCCCCCAAGGCAAGAGATAGGAATGCTATCACTGCACAAGAAAACCCTACCTTTACTGTAATAAGGCACCTCAATTGATTGACAGCAGCTGGAATGCATAAAAGTGCTTGTCAGTTAATGAAATGAGTGGTTTGACATTCAACGTTTATGATGAAAGAGGTTTTGTACAAGGTGCACCACTGAAATTGGCATTTCTTGAAACATGCACAGCAAAATTCCAATGCTTTGAGAAAAGATGCAATTGGCAGAAAGAGGATATTTAATACAACAGTAACTCCTTCAAGGCCATTCCATATTTTATAGGTGTCTTAATCTTTGCAGCTCATTAGGAATTTTAACAATATGCTGGGAGCTGTTCCAATTTTGGCAATACTTTCATCACATAATTAGTCTCATTCCCTCCTTTATCCTGGCGACACAAAGATATTGTTATTCCAGCTACTATAAAGACAAGTGTGCTGAGTGAATTAGCAAAAATGACAATTCACCTCAAACTCGCTGACCAAGCCTTGCCTACTTACTGTCTCACCCAATGGTTCCTTGTCCAAATCCAGTCTGACCAGTGAATGATTTAGTCTCAGTGCGAGAGATAGGGCCATCAGACCTCCAGTTCTAATTCTGTTCCTTCGCAGATCCAACCTTAGAATCCTAGCACTCTCCACTATAAACTCAGCAGTGGCTACTGCACCTACAGATTAATAAAAAGAAAAATTAATGCATCTCATGCCCTCTGGATAGATATAGAATAGATTCAGAAAATTCACTGTCTATTAACATCATGAATACAAATCAAAAACCCATTGATGATGGAAATCTGAAATAAAATAAGAAGAGGCTTGTGATATTCAACAGGCCAGACAACATCTCTTTAGGAAGCATGAGACAGTTAATATTCCTGGTATAAAACCTTTTATTCTGCAATAAAATTTTCCACTTGAAACACGAACAGTCTAGTGCTTTCTTAGTATATTTATTTGCTGAGTATCTCCAGTGCTTTCTATTTGCGCTATCTCTTACTCATTGCAAAGCTCATTGCAAATGACTTAACATGCTTACATGAAATTTCTCTGTCCAGTGTTTTAAATAAAGCACTTAACCATTCATTTTAATCTAGGTAAAGCTGAAGTTGCAATAATGGATTGAGTAAGTTTAAATGAACATGTTTTCAAATCACATGGAAATATTTTTAGCCTCCTAATGTTGTAAAAACTATGCACGTCCCTTGTATGAAAGTTAAGAGTAAGTAAGACTGATAATTGGCCACAATATTTGATTATAGATGTTAGGTTCCAGCAGTAGGACAGTTGCAGTTTTTCTGCAGTATTCCAAGGTGACATAACTTGATCCTAAGCAGCATATCATCTATTGAACTACATGTATTAAAAAAAAGGTTTATGCTTCAGGTGACAGTAGTAATCAAACCCACTACTAACTGGCCAGAAAGCAATCCTCCTTTCTACCTGCAGGGCCACTTATCCATATAGCAACATGAATGTCTCCTTGCAAGTCACCCCTTTTAGTTCATCATGCACATGGGGGGCCAAGCGAATAAAATGTAAAGGACTCGTGCAATTCAATGCATCTTCTACACAATGCGAAAAACCTAAATTACAGGGCAGATTGGAGTCAGAATATAGCTTGTTCACATGTCCTGATTAATTCATCAGTGGTCAGATGTTTCTAGTTCAAAACTCCTGCATCCAAACTTTTTTCGGAAAAGAATACAAATATTTATATTAAGCATTTGTAAGTGACAGTGTTGCTTCTTCAACAGATGTTGGCCAGAATCAAGTGTAATCTATGATGTAGACTAATATATTCTAGACCCAGAGAAATTAGGCAATGGGCTGAATCTTACATTTTTGTGGCTAAGTGCAAATCATGTTGAGTTGGGTGGAGTGAATCTTGCCATGAGGCTAAATGAATTTTCCCACGGCATTAATTGTCATTTCTGCCCCTGTGGCACGTATGGTATTTGATTTCCTCCCGATCTTTCTATGTATCGTTCCCAGACCAACTCCACCTTTCACTGGAGATTCAAGAATTGAGCAAATGTCTGATGCCAGCACCATATTTAGATCGCTGTTAATAAGTACTGTAAGACCAGAGCCACCCTCCACAGACACTTGTTCCGAACATGGCAAACGGGGAAATTGGTGCTTTTTTTTTTGTGCAGTATCCTGGAGCTCCTGCTGGATGGAACAGCGCACAAGGTGGGATTTTCTCTCCCCCACCGGGATCAGCAATAAAGGCCATTAAACCAGTCCATGCCATCCTGGTCTGAAGTTGTCACCCAGGTTAGACCAGCCTCAGCCATTAGCACAGTTGGAAGAAGGTCAATGTCCATCTCCACTCTGCCAGCTTAAGCACTATCTTCTTCTCTCCGATACCTCGTGTTCACTCCATCTATGCTACCGGATCCACCTCCTGCTAAGGTTCATGTACGACCGCCCTCACTAAAGCATGTAACATCTTCGCCACTCACCCTTACCCACCTCAACCTGCAACAAAACTAACACTGCATGCTCTCTATGTGGCCTAGTCACTCACTTACTCAGGACACCTCCTGACCAACACCAACATTAATAGCTGTGCCACGCATTTTCAGCTTCCATAATTCTTGTCTTTCTCTCCTTTTCCAGGAACAAAACAGCCCATAATATGGCATAAAGAGTGAGGATGGGTGGTGTGCTGCCCATCATTTGGCTCCTCACTCCCTTGTCAGATAACGATCCTGACTCTGATCATCTCAAGCAGGACCTGTACTGGTACTTGAGGTTGCTCTTGACTTATTATGTTGGGTTCCTCTGAGTAGAGATTATCCACTTTAACTGGAATGAGGCCTGCTGACAGCTGTGGCAAATTTCTTGGCTTTGTGCCTGCACTAAATGGCAAGATAGTCATGAGCTGTTCCTGGTATCTCTGGCTGAGAGGACAATGGTGGTGGTGGTGGTGGTGGTGGGGGCGGGCGGTGGGTGGGGTGGGTGCGCGGGGGTGGGTGAGGAGGGGCAAGTATCCAGGTAGGCTCAGTGTGAGTGACGACAATGATTAGTGAAGAGCCCAGAGATGCATCTTGGTCGCGTGCATGAGCTGGGTACACATCGGAACACACAGTGTCGATTGCAGCAGCAATATAATGTTAGTTGTTGATCCAGCCCAAGTACACCATTGAAGTGTTACAGGTACCTGTAAATGGATCGGACATATGCCTTGATGGTTCCTAGAGGCTGGAATGTCGATGTCCATGTATGTGGACGTGGTGTGCATGTGGCCAGTGTCTATGGAGCCTGGTGTCCAACATTGAGGTCTTTTGGAGGAAGTGGCCAAAAGCCTGCTTTGGTTTCCATGCCAGGTTTTCCCAGTGGCTAGTTTGTATGGTAAGTTTGGTAAGGTCACAACTCATGGTGATTTGGGCTGTTAACGAAGCATTTAACACAGAATAATTAACATCAATTGAGAACTTGCCAATGCCTAGTGGGAACCTTGCCACAAAATACAACGAAATGATCCCTACATCAAGAGGGACCTTGTCAAATAAGGTGCATGAATCTTTTTCAAACCTCGCCACTGTTCAGAGCCTGATAAGATTCCGCTCCAACATTTAAGCTGTTTTTCATATATAGAGGTGCAGGTAAGACTGCTGGATTCTTCTAGAGAAAGCAAGAACTGCAGATGCTGGAGTCAGAGATAACAAAGTATGAAGCTGCAGGAACACAGCAGGCCAGGCAGCATCAGAGGAACAGGAAAGCTGATGTTTCAGGTCGGGATCTATATTTCACTCAGTTTAAAATTCAACAGGAACAAAGGATCCCAGATTTTGCTGCAAGCAGCAAATCAAGCACACTCACTCACGACTGACCTCAAAGAAAGCTAGACTGAAAGACCTGGTGATGTATGTAGTGGAAACTTTCATGGTGTGCAGTTGACTTTACTGCAGCTTAATGAGGATTTTCAGTGTTAAATTGTACTTCATTCCCTTCAATCCAGGGGCACCACTCAGTTTCTGCGCATCACCCCAACACCAACTCTGGAGATGCAAGAGACCAGGCGAAAAGCAGTGCCACAACTTTGTCAATGTCTCCCAAAAGATTCTTCCGAGGGTTGCTCACGTAAGAAGACAAGTTCTTTTCCCTACACATGTCAATAAGAGGTCACCCTGACTGATGAAAGCAACATGGACGGGGGTGGCTACAGAAGTCAGCATCTGAGGTTGTTTCAAACAGACTTGATTCCAATGCCACAAGAGGATGAATGATCTGTGCTCTGCCAGGGTATGTACCATTGAACACTCAATGCTTCATGCTCCTGTGAATGTGAATTAGCATTGTAAGGTTGTCACTGCAGAGGACTGTTTCACAGGAGGTTGGATGCCACCAGATGCCTCTTGCGAAATCAATGTCTGTCATTTTATTGCAGCTACCATTGTAACAATACTGGCACCACAGTAGTACTGTCTCTCACAGTTTATACTTAAGGCATAAAAGAAGTTGCAACACTCAGCAGCTCACACACAATCAGGTCACTGAACTTTCATCATGACATGGAGAATTTATACATCTGATAGCTTTTCACAGAAGACTTTCATTGGACAACGTAATTCAAGATGGCTTTTTGAATCAAACTGAATCAGTCCAGTTGCCTGCCCGAGTCAGGTTTGCTCTCAGTGCTTGGGCAAGCTTGTTGGCCCAGTCAGACATCACCCCCACTACCAGCTTAACAACAACAAGCCAGTCAATGTATGATTGAGACTTCTCATGAGCTGATCAGCATGCAGAGGCTTCACCCTTATAATTGCAAGCATTTGTGCAAAGAAGTGGCTTGGTTATGAAGGAGCCAAGTTAGCGAAGAAAATGTGAACTCATTAGAGCTTGGATAAACAACCTAGCCAGTCAGGTACATACCTCATAAATGTAGTCAGGTCTGTAGACCCATGGGTTTCCTGTTTATGTGAATAAGATTGTAACTGTGAATATAAATGCAGCACGTAGAACTGTTCGTGAGTATGCTAATGAATAAAATGCAAGTTCCTAACCGAGGCAACCATCTGAAAACTTCTGAGAAGTTAAGCATAAAGTTTTAACCCACTGTTGGGAAAGTGAATTTTTGTTTCATGCCCAGTTAAATTCCTCTGCCCAACCTACTAAAAGCTTCGGGCAGACAGGGAAAATTCTGTGGCATTATGTTTTCAGGGCCAGATCTTTCAATCAGTCATAGTTATTGCTTAGTCTTAAACACTTTGTTACACCCAATGGTATTCTCACCATGTTAATTGATTTCACTGATTGCTGGCTCAGGGATTTCTGAGGGGGCAGTATTCAGGGAGCTGGAACAGCCGTGGGGGGCTGTTGGGGCATCATGGTATTATAGTTCAGCCAGTGGCAGAACAGTAAATGGCAGGTTGGAACTTCAGGATTCCTGCGTTAATGTGAATTTGTGCTAAATCCTTAAGTTCAGGTCACATTCAGAGGGGTACTGATGGCAAACACTGACCGATCACTATTGACACAACATTTACAGACATTACCTTCGCAAGTTATTGCTGTTGACGCCAGTCCTAAACGAATGACTGATCGATTAGCTATCAACGCTTCTTTAAGTCTAAGGATTCCTTCATTGCTCAGTGGATTATGACCTAAATTCAGTGTCTCCAGACAAGTTAATTTAGGCTGAAATGAAAACAATGCAGAGCGTTAGAACAGAGCTATACCTTCTGTTAGACACAAGCGCTTATAATAAAGTCAGAAATATGGACTTCATTGGTGCAAAGTACCCAGCAGGTCAGGAGGTATTGAAAAGTATTGCTGTTGCTTTGGGCTACATCATAACTCTGAGAAAATTGTCTCAACCATTAACTCTGCAAAATGTTCTGGCAGTTTGTGCCTTTGGGAGCTGCCAAACTATTTACATAGCTCACTGACAGCACTTAATGGTAGAAATCAGGTACTACACCAGTTCGTCACTGAATTAACCAGAAAAGTGAAGATTTCAAAAACTCTGCTTTAGCCCAGGACGGAAATCTCTGACTCCTGTCCATATGGCAGGGAAGGAGGGAGCAAGGGGGTACAAACAGTCAGCAAAACCTTGAAGTCTACAAAAATCCTACATGTGCACGGTTGCCAGTTTACAAGCTTTGCTTAAAATCTGTATTGCAACGCTACAGAGAAGAGTGTGGTGGGAATGAGATTTACCCAGTGCCTCAGGCTGGGAACCACTTCTGCACAAACAAGCTTATGAAACATGTGACATCAGGTAAAGAGCACACTACAGGAGACAACACTTCAGTTATTATTGTCTCAACATGAACAAAACAACTCTGCTTACAGCATATAACAAACAACAAAATCAAGCCTCCCCCTGAGTACACTGTAGCTCTGCTGTGCCAATTCGCCCCCTCTTACTGTCAGGCCTGGCAACTCCTCCCAGCTATCTTTTTCATGTCATCCGTGTTGTTTTGACACAAACACCAAAATATCATTTGAAGGATTTAGTTCAAAACCAAATTACTTTGTGAATTAAAAATGTGTGAATGCAAGATATATTCATCTGAAATACATGCTTGACATTTTAGTGGAGGCAGGGGCTCATTTAAAATAAATGTTTTATCCCAACCACAATTCTCCTGTTTTCCTCTCCTGAAGGTGGGGTACATAATATATTCATACGAGAGTATAGTTTCCCAGTTGCCAGTTGTCTCCATTACCTCCATAATTTAAAGCCAAGCTACTGAGGTTACTGGAGACCTGAGATTAAAACAGAAAGTGGTGGGAAAACTCTGTAGGTCTGGAGCACCTGTGGGCAGCGTAAAATAGAGTTGAAATTTCAAAGCTAATGACTCTTCTTTGGAAACTGAACATTGGACTTGAAATGTTAACTCTGTTTCCCTTTCCACAGACGCTGCAAGACCTGTTGAGTTTCGCCTGCAGTTTCTGCCCCTGTTACCTCTTCCAGGTCTTGTTTGAGCATGGATAATAAATGGTAGAGATTAACAGTGGAGGACAACACCACTGAATGTAATCTTCTCCTTATCCAATGTCTACACATTAAGGCTTTCCTGTAGCGGTCACTGCATAGCAACTAAGACATTTCCCTATTTCCACTTCCGAAGTCAGTCATGTTTATTTTAAACTTCGACCACAACTTACATCAACCAATTCAGGAAGGATAACAGAAGCAACCCACAATGCCCTCGTCCACGTAAATCACTACACCATGCAGTATAATTGGTCACAAAACCATCTCCAACTATGGTTTTTATTCTTTGGTGAAAGTGGAACTAATAAAGTGACCTTCTCTACATACCAATAGCTAGCTCGGTCCATTATTGCTTGCGTTATCCACTGATGAAAGGCTGACATTTGTATAACACATTTCATGAGCACACTTAACTAATGAAACATCTTTGAAGTGTAGCCATTGTTCTGATACAAGAAACAGAGCAGTTCATTTACGTGCAGCAAGACCCAACTATAGGAAAATGTGATAATGTTTTAATGATGTAAGTTGAGCGATATATATATTAGCCTGTGTTGAGGTTAGTTAGCTCAGTTGGCTAGACATTTGGCTTGTGATGCAGAGTGGTGCCAACAGCATAAGTTCAATGCCTGCACTGACTGGCATTACCATGAAGGACTTACCTCTTGCCTGAAGCGTGGTCACCCTCAGGTAAAAACCACCACCAGTCAACTTTCTCAAACAAAAGTACAGCCCTATGGGTTGATGGTGAGTTTATCTTTATATATCAGCAGGAAAGTGAGTGTTGTTTCCCTCTCCTTGTTCAAAATAGAACTTAGGAATATATAACATTCGCCTGAGCAGGCAGTGGAGATTTGCTTGCATTTTTCCTCTGAAAGACGGCACCAACAAAGCAGCATGTATCAGTACTCCATTGGATATTGTGCCTAGATTCTGCGCTTGAGTTTCTGGAGTAGGATTTAAACCTATTAGCTTCTAATTCAGAGACGAGAGAGCTACCAACTGAACCACAGCTGAAAACACTTCACATATTATCCTGCACTATCTTCCAGACTCCTGGCACAGAGCTTCAGGTGTTGGTATTACAGAGAATACTGTGCTTGCTTTGTGGGCTTTGTGATTCCTGATCCATTGTGCGGGAACATAACCTTTATCTGGAGTTTGCAAAAGTGGACCTATCATCTGAAATATTGGTTTCAGATTGTTGAAATGTTAAAATTAATCCTGTCAGTTTGTTTCCCATGGTCCAAATTCAAGAAAAACTTTGGAAAATTCCTTCATATACTACATGTCAATGAAACAAACATGAACATACACTAACTAAAGGTAAATAACCCACATGAAACATACATGCTGCAATGTCCTTCTCACTTGGAGACTCTAAAGCAGAACCACCTCAGATGAAACACAGCTTACATGATTTTCTTTACAGCCTGGCTATTTAAAAGTTTGTTTAGATGATATAATGATACATTAGCACAGTGTTTTTGTTTTCTTTAGGGAGGGGGAGAAGGGTAAACCAGACTTTTCTGTCTTGGGCATTAATTGGAAAAAAGAGGTTTTGAATAATTATTTTTGTGCACTAAATTACCACTCTAGAACTAATTACAGACATCTAATTTGCATTAAACTGGTACATGTGGAATATTTTGCTTTTGTGAGCAACGTTTACTCAAATTTACAGCCTGTTTTCAGAGCCTAACTTCTGAAAGCTGGGCTGGGGAATTCAGAAATTTAGCTCAAATCAGAAGACTGGAAACAGTCAAATAGTTACTGTTTCAAAACATTCCAACATTACATGTTTATGTTATATGTGCCAGTTGAAGACTTTGGACTTTATCATCACTCCTGCTGAATGACACAGTCTTTTATTTTAGTCACATAAACCTCTTCAAGGTTTAAAACCTCATTTCCTCCTGTTATATCCTAGGGGTAATTTTAGTAGTCCTTAGTGCCAGCAGGTGCCCTCACCCGCCTGTGATGGAGACTCATAAAACCATCCCTTCCGCTATAAACAGAGCCTGCTTGATGAAATACATTGAAAAGAAACTGCGCATGCTGGAAATTAAAATGAAACCAGAAAAATGCTGGAAATACCGCACAGAATCATCAGCACTTTGTTAACATTCCAGCTACAGAGTCTTCTCAGGCTGCTTATCTGACATATCACTTTTCAACACAATATTGGACCAGAATTTGCTGGAGTGAGCATACCCAGTTGTTATACTTTGTCCCTCATGCTTCAGTTTTATTATTTGAAAGGTGTGAGGCAATAGTGATGTGGTGAGGACAATGGGTCTTCAAGGTCCTCGGATGATGGGTTCAATAGTCTTTCTCCGTAAGCAATGAGATATTTTTTTAAATGACACAGAAATAGTAGAATGATGGAGGAAGATGATAAAGTCAAGTCAAATTAGGTCCAGAAATAAAAATAAAGGGGGAGAAAATGAAAGACTAGATTGAGAAAGATAGAAAAGAAAGATAGAAAGAAGCATGGAAATAGGAGCAGGTATAGGCCCTTTGAGCCTGTTCCACCATACAACAGGACGATGGCTGATCATCCAGCTCAGTACCCTATTCTCCCTTTCTTCCCATACCCTTTGATCCCATTAGCCCTAAGGACATCTAACTCCTTCTTGAAAATATTCAATGTTTTGGCTTCAACCACTTTTTGTGACAGAGCATTCCTGAGGATCACCGTTCTCTGGGTGAAGAAATTTTTCCTCACGGGAAAAGTAAGAAAAAATTAAAACACCAAATATTTTAAATTTCGATAATCTCTGGGAAAAAAATTGTTAGCGTGAGATACCACAATTCAAATGATTCCCAATTTAAGTGTATAGGTAGACTGGTATTGCTGGAACTTAAATTACCTCATTAGAAAGGTTCTTACATTGCTAAGTACTAATCTTAACTTTCTGCAGTGAGTTTAATGGGCCATTAAGCCATTTTTGCAAGACTAACTGTAGAGCAGTACAAGTTGTCAAGCAAATGTAGCAATTTGTGAATCATAGAATATCTTATCCTCACCAGGAGTTGCTCGAGAATAGATACATTGATAACAGTAAATGAAGCTTTTCATCAATTAAAGTTTCTTCCTAAATCTGAATACGATTACTGATCATCATGCTAACCATAACCTGTCAAACAGACTGGAAGAGTGTTCTACCAACAAGATACACTGGAGTGCCATTCGTTCAATCCTTAGTGAATAACTAGTGAATCAATACTTCCTGGGAGTCTTGACAGGTTCATGTTAAACGGCTAGTGTAACGATATCAACCTTCGCTCAATTATAATACTCATAATTAAGTTAGGAGATTGTTCCTGAGACCACAGCAAATAATGCAGTACCGAGTGAATCTTATACTGTTGTAGCTGTCATCCTTCAGCCTTCACAGAATCACAGAATGATTCATAATTTCAGGGCTAGAGGTGGCTATTTGGCTTGTTGTTTTCATGCTGGCTCCATGTCTGTTCAAAACGATCCCATTGTGTTTGAGTGAATAAGACAAAGGTGTTGTCTTGACCACCATTGTCTCTCAACCAACACAAATAATATTAACTAGCTGGTTATTTCATTGCTACTTATGGAATCTTGCTCTGTGTTTGGCTACATGGCAAAAGTTTAAAAGTATTTTCTTTGGCTGTGAAAAGCTTTGGCATGGTCAAGAATGTAAGGTTTGCTTCATAA